CCGATATATAACCGGTTCCAATTTTCATAACATGAATAAAACCGGTTTCTAAAATTAAAACCGGTTCCAACCTCTAAATTCTGGTCTCCTAACAATTAATACGATTATTATGAAGGCTATGCCTAGAAAGGATAGAGAGGTTTGTATTAAGCCTTCAATAGTAGCATTCGCACTTGCAGTTTGTAGTATTGTCTTTAATCCATGAAGCAAAGACATCCGATGTACTGAAGAAGCTATTAAGAAGCGATGTTCGATTTTCTTGGTAAGTATTCAATTTCACATTTATATTGATTATATTCTTCCTAATCAAAGTTTTATCAATAGGAACGATTGAATATGCAACTTATTCCAATTGAAGAAGATATTGCAGATATCCATGATGATTTGAAAAATAATAAAGGTTTAAAAGATTATAATGATACCGTCGAAGGAGAGACTCAACAACCTTATTCCAAATCTGAAGATGCTAGTTTATTTGATTGAATATAATACAATATTAATGGTAACTGTATAAATTCTTTACTAATTTTATGAGTATTTTTTATTTTTCTCTATAATAATCTCATTATTTTTACAAATATTATTGAACAAGACACTTTGAAACTTTTAAATTTGCCGATTCTCGATCAGCCGCTACGATAACGCAAAAATTTATTATATACATAAATACGATTATAGCTTATATTAATATCTTTCTGTAAAATGCGTTTCTAAATAAAATTTACATATACCTGATATTTATTTATTACATAAATATTTGGAAATGAAGATTTCGGGTTATGAAAAATATCAACAGATGTTAATAATTAAAAGAAACCGCAAAGAAATTTAGTTACAAAAATTTGCAATAAAATTCATAAATAAATAAAATGTTAAATTTTCTAAAGTCTGTTTATTCTAAGTTTTTTGTGTCTGCATATCTTCGGACGGGTAGGGATTGGCGAGTTATTTATTTTTGCACATAATTGCCTTATTTGATCTCCTTACGGGTTATATAATTCTAAACAATATAAAATAAATGCTGTATCACCAAAATTAATGACACAACGGATTATCAAATCAGAAAATTTTAGTTGCTGTTTTTTACACTACGATAATATGCATATTGATGATCAACGAGATCGACGACACACATTTTATTGGTAATTTTCGCGAAAATTGAATCGTACCGGTCGGTTTTCCATATACGCATGATTTTGTTTCGTACTAAACTTATTTTAATTTTATTACTGCATAACTTCGAATCAAATATTTTAAGGTGTTAAACAAAAAAAAAAATAATTACTAAATTAGTACTAATAAAGAAAGAATTTTGTACGTCACTTTCCGAAAAAAAAATATTATCTCATATATATTCTAATTCTTTGGAGATTAAATAAATATCGCCGTCGATTATAAATCCGGCTAGGCAATTATTTACTACTTTCTATGATACTGTATTAATAATAATATTTACGTCGGGTCACATTTTGCGATTGCGAAAAAGATTCGAACGAAATCAATCTATTCTAATTTAGGGATTCAAAAAAGTAAAATCGCGATGCTTTTCGATACTAAGATTCGATTGGACAATTTGAACGCGGACAATCACCAAAAAAAAAAAAAAAAAATCCATTTGCCAAATTTGCCAAGAAAAATAATTTACATTTTACATTGTAGATTATTATATACATTAAGTAATTCAATAAATTGAAGCGAGATGATAAAAAAAATTATTTTGTTGTAAAAATATATTGTAATGTTCCGGACAAGATCGACTGTTCCGAGATCGACTGCAGTTAAAATTAAACTTATAAAGTTCGAAAATAAAATAAATGGAGTTTGACTTTTGGATTGTCAAAGTCAAATTTGATTTATTAAATGTTAAATAAAAAAAAGATACAATTAAAACTTAAAAAGAAATAAAAAAAGAACCAAAATGGAGAATTTCGACATGAAAGTCGTTAAATTAAAGGATTTTGAAGAGATTTTCTTAAACGTTGAATGAAAAAAATTGATACCGAAATGGTTTGGTCTCCCTGGTATCTTGTAATTTTTTTTCGAGGGTTATAAACGTATATAATGTCTTCGATTTTTCGTTAAGGGAAAAAAAATTATTTCAAAATTATTTCACTATGAAGAAAAGTTTATTATATATTCTTATAAATTTTTCATCGGTAGTTATTGCTGATTGGATCACCGTAGAACATGATTTTAACATGTGCGACCAGGCCGTACCTTCTGATGTTGCGGCGTTCCATATAGACGACGATGGCATTGCTTATTCGACGTCTCTTTTGGTCAGGGATTTTAAAACTATAAGTCATAATTCCCCATTAACAACTGTAAACATCACTATGTGGGGATGTACCTATGATTGCCACTTCAGCTTCATGGTGAATATAAACAGGGATGAACTTACGGTTTCGTCGTATACCGAAAATAATCAAAACAACTACAAATGTAATTTAAGTAATAAAACGATGAAAATTATTCCAACCCCTAAAATTACATATCGGCAAAAAAACCCGAACCCAGCTCATGCATTTCCAACTGATTTAACTGCCCAGTATTGCAGTGAAGGCAAACACCCAGATGTACCCGATTTTCCAATTAAAAAAACAGAAAATGTAGCCGAATGCATCGATTATCTGACTGGTAGTGAAGTTGGAACGTACGCTGCATCTCTTCTGTTCGGTTACGGCAGCTCGTTCCTTCCTGATGATTATCCTGTTGCTACATATCACATGATTAATTCGGCAAATAAGGTATTTAATTATTGGGAGAGACACCATCGAGGGTTTCATGATGCCCTTAATGAACTAAGTGAAAAAATGACTCTCGATAATCTAAAACAATTGGTCCCACCACCGCCGCCACCGCCTAAACATAAAACTAACATTCTCAAAACGATTTTAATTGGTATAGCCATTGTCGTTGCTGTAGCCGCATTTTATTTTGGTATAACATATTTTACACTTATCCCTGACGCCATGTCATCCGCTACAGTCGCTGCCGAATTTGGTGCTGCAGAAGATGTTATCGCAACGACAGCTGAAGGATCGGTAGCCAGAGCTACAGCAGAAGGTTGGGCAAATGAAGCGATAGAAAGTCCAGCCAATTTAGGAAGATTCAGAAACGTAATAGTTGATGGAGTTGGTTGCTCTAGAAACATAGAATTGTGCGAAAATGTTGCAATGAGGGACTCAGCGTCATACTATCAAACAGCAACAAACCCAAATATTCAACAATACCTTACATCTTTGGGTAGTTCTTCGAAATCCCCAATGCAAAAGAGGGATAAGGGAGATAATTTAGGATTTTTTACGATTAACAAGATAAATAATATTTTTCTTCCAACTTTAATGGACAATGTTCATCAATCATTTACTGGCAGTGGGCAAATCTATACAGATATTTCATCATA